AATAATAATAATAATAATAATAATAATAATAATAATAATAATAATAATAATAATAATAATAATAATAATAATAATAATAATAATAATAATAATAATAATAATAATAATAATAATAATAATAATAATAATAATAATAATAATAATAATAATAATAATAATAATAATAATAATAATAATAATAATAATAATAATAATAATAATAATTAATAATAATAATAATAATAATAATAATAATAATAATAATAATAATAATAATAATAATAATAATAATAATAATAATAATAATAATAATAATAATAATAATAATAATAATAATAATAATAATAATAATAATAATAATAATAATAATAATAATAGTAATAATAATAATAATAATAATAATAATAGTAATGATATAATAATAATAATGGTTAGAAAATATCACTCAGTGTTTTTTATCATATCTATTTATCAGATAATTACGAATCATATGGAATTTGTAACTATTTGGGCACATAAACAGTGTTAACATATTTTTGCTAAATTTTTCAGTAATGTATTTATAATTAATGTTATTTGAGTTTGATTTTTTTTGCAGATTTCATTGCAGTTTGATCTTCGATTTTTTGATAAAACATTATGAAATATTAATGTATGAGATATTTTATTTTAATTTTTGAATTATTTAAGCAAAATGTTCAATGATAGAAGACATTTAAATATATGAAATAATAGTACGAATTATATTTTCATTCTCTTATCTTTTTTTCCCTTTTTTCCGCCTTTAGCTTTAGATTTATTGAAAAAAAAAAGGAAATTATTTTAAATTTTGAATTGTTTTGTTGGATCATTTAGCATGACTAAATTTTTATTCTTTTTCATTACACTTTGTTTAAATTCATTGATAATAAATTAATTATATATATCAAAGTTAAAAGTTTACATACAAATACTATCATTTTTCATGTATAATTAATTAGCACGTCAACATTTTTTTTTTTCATTTCATATATATTATTTAACGAATTAAAAAAATTCATTAATTTCTAATTTGAATAATTCAATCGTTTTTCACTTTCTTTTTTTCTTCTCAATTTATTTTGTATAAAATTTTCATTCTGGTACAAAAAATTTCAAAATATATTTAACACAAAATATCATCAATATGATTAAATCTGTTGTTGATTTAAAAAAAAAAAATCAATTAAAAATAATTTATAGAATTAAAATATTAAAACGATCTCTATTATTCTTTCTTTCTTTCTCTCTCTCTCTCCCTCTCAATCTCTTTTTCATATATCATTATCACAACATTGATAATGATTCGAATAATACAGTACACTACTTTTAATGTATACAATCACGTGTTTCACCACTAAATTCACCAGCCAATTCGATTGTTCCAACATCATAAAGTTTTGTTGGTGCATTACCAATTGCAATGTATTCATCCGGTATCATTATACTCATTTTACGTTGACAGGGCTGTAAATATCTTATCATCATTATTATTTGTAAATATCTTATCATCATTGCC